AGAGATGCAGAAGGGAGCGAGGTAGAGGGCAGAGAAATGAAGGAGAGAGAAGCAGTAAGAAAGAGAGAGAAAAAGAGAAAGAGTCTGAATAATACTAACGTAGGAGGTAGGATTTTTATAAGAAGAGCAACAGGACACAGAGGTACACAGGATGCTTAGCTCGGGGAAACAGGAAGTTCAGGAAACTTGATGTACCACAGAGCACTAAGAGGAAAATCACAACGAGGGGTGGTGGGAAACCCCACTCTGCTAGCGATGATGCCATTTTCTCCCACTATAAAGTAATTTGCTGCAGTCATGCACTTTAATGGAAATCTGATTTAAGGTTTTACTCAGGGCCAATTTCTATAATTAACGCCTGTAATCTGCCATCTCAAACTGAGAATGAAATTAAGACAGTTTGGAAATGAAAGCACTGTGACATCATTATTATTTAACATTTATAAAGCTTGTCAAATTTTAAATGTGTACCTCACATGTTCATTCATTATTATAACCACTAATTGCTGTTCCGTGACAATACCAATAGTAACTTTTAATAGTCTTTCTTTTTTTTTTTTCCTGGCAGAGAGAATTAAAAAAAAAAAAAAAAAAATCAGTGCTAGGTCTATCTAAGTATCCAGAGACTCTCCCAGAAGATTTCAAAGGGCTTTCAAGAACTGAGGCTTTTCCATATTCTCAGATGAGAATTACAAGGGCTGCTATTTACTATTTCGCAAAAGTAAAGATCATCTAGTGAGGCAGTTATGGAGCCAGATACACTGAGCACATCCATAGACCCTAAACGGCTATTCCCAAAGCCAGGTCTGTGGCAGCTGCTAAAAGTTGTGCAAGTGGCTGGGCAGTCAAAATGCAGGTTTTTCAAATGTCTGTGTGTTTGGCTTTGCAAAATATACTCTGGCTGCAGATTTTAGTCCTCAATTAAAGAATGAGCTTCTAAAGAAGAAAACAACAGCCTTTGGTATTTATCAAGCTCCTCTCAACCTCGAATAAACAAATAAACCAATAAAATCACAACTAAACCTATCTTTGGGAATATAATACTTTTGAGTATCTGATGAACATTAAGGAATCACAGTCAGATAAATTCACACACAAGACAATATTTTTGGATAATTTTAGATAAGTCTCATGACTAAACTGCTCCTATAAGATTTGGCCAATAATTTAAAAGCAGACAAGGGAAAGGTTAACACACAGCAAATGCATATAGGATAGGGGTATGAGTTGCAGGGAAACTGTGAATTCTTTGCAACGATTTATAAAATTT